AAAAAAAATACAATACAAAAAGGTTTTTTAGGTTGAATGGATTTATGCATCCAATAATCCTATAGTAATTGTTCACAATAGTTTAAATAAAATTTTGAGGTGTCAAAAAGAATGGTATTGACGCAGTAAATAGCCTTTATTTTTCATAGCACTGCAGAAGAATATCCTTGACTTTTTCTGAATTTTGTTCATGGTAATTGTTTAATTGTTGTGGAATACTTCTAATTGTTAGATTTTTTAATGTAGTCCAAAATATTTCATGCAATTCTGAAACAAATTAGATTATTACGCTGATAAAATTTTGTATTTAAATATCCGTTTTTCATACATGGCTTTTTGTTTTTGCCTCTAATATATAACTACAGTTCAAATACTTTGGATTCTTTTCACTTTGAGAACTAAAGAAAAGGATTAAACAACATCTTGATACTTAATCATAAATTTTAAAACCCTTATCATCATAAAAATTTTTGTGAAAATAAACAACTAAAACATGTATCAAAATTTTGAAATTGATCTTTTATGATTTTCTAATCACGAAATTACATCTTATTCTAATGAGATTAAACCATGTACTATTTTATTTTGGTGCAAATTTTTATCATATTAGTATAGAGGAGGAAGAAAATTTCATTAATAATGTATAACTGGAAGAACTTAACACACGTGGAAATTTTGACATATTTACAAACATTTCGTTTATTATATACCTGTTATTAAATATGGTATATTCTTACTCTGCAATGAGTTTCAGACTCCCTGACATGCCATTAGCCGAGGATATTCTTGATATTATAGTAAAATATATAATCATGTTTTGAGTCTTTTCTTTTTTCATAGGAATTATCATTTTTTTTACTTTATATATGTGTTTTTTTTCACACATATGGTTCTTTATGTTTTATTAAAAGCTCATCCTGTGTTTTTTGGCCCAATACTTTATTTTCTTTTGATTCTTTTTATTTTTATCATATTCTTTCTAGTTTTAATGTTTTCTACTTTATCTAAATTTGTGCATTTCCTTTTTTTATATAGTATATTTCATTGCACTTTAATGTTCAAATGTCTTCTTGTTTCATTTGTCTTCTTTTTACTCCTTATGTATATTACAGGTGATCTATTTTGCATTTTAATAATCTATCCCGTATTTATTTATATATCATCTTCAAAATTAAGTTGAAGTGAGGTCAAGATTGTATTCATGCGAAGATCTTGACAACTACTTATTACTGTTTTCTAAATGGTAAAAACTATCCAAAAAAAAAATTTATTTTGAGATACCAAAGTCAGTCATTTGACAATTACAAGGTTTAAATAATTAATATTATAAATATAAATATTTTATGCACCCAATAATGTAAGAGTGTAATATTAATTATTTTAAACTTTGTAATTATCAAATAACTGATCCTGGTATCTTAAAATAGTCAATTAACATTCAGTATACAAGTATACACAGTATACTCAAAAAACAATTTTTTGGATTCATTGGGTAGTTGTCGAGATACCTGTCTAAAAAGCTTTTAAAAAAAGATCTATATGAGGTGTGGGACATGGATACATTATTGTGTTTATATATATTGTGAATTTTAATTTTAAAGTCAAGTGTTTTTGTTTTGGTACTGAATCGATTATGTTATAATTTTTTGCAACTAGAAATTAGTTTTAACAATATAATTAATAGGAATTCAATATTGACTTGGCTTTGATATATAAGTAAAGTATATAGTAAATACTATAAATATATTTTGCTACAATTGTGGAATAATATTTTTTGGTTTTGAACATTTTACATATTATGAAGAAATATCTTTATTTATTTTTTTAAAAAAAAATGTTAAATACTAATCACTATTGCAATATAACTCGCTTATTCGATAAAAAAAACTAATTTTATAAAGTAATTCTATAAATCCACTAATAAGATAAACTTTGTGTACTAATATTAAAAGGTACAGTAATTAGTAAAAAATTTAAAAGTCACCTTACTTATACGTATACATATATTTTGGGTCCTGGTATGTACATATCATTATCTGTTATAGAAATTACTCTGCCTTAAAGTAGGCAGAGATAAGTCATTTAATTAAGCGTTTTCGAATAATACCTGCCAAACTAATTCTGGTTATTAAAATAAGTACAAAACAGCTATGGTTTGAGAACATTACATTTTCTGCTCTTAATTTTTTAGAGCTTGAACTAATAGTATCATAAATAGTTGATCAAGTTTTGTAGATATTTTTCTGGTCTCATGCTATGTGTGTATTTGATTGGCTGAAAATCAGCCAATCAAATGTAAGTATGAGACCAGAATAACAGTATTAATGTAATATCGTCTAAATGCGATACTGGAATAGTTCTGTAGTATTGGTTATCAAATGATTTTTATAAACAAGTTTTTGATATCTGATCTCTAAATACATGTTTCTCAATATATATTTAACCAATTTTAATGATTTTATTAAAATAACTTAATAGAAATTTTAGTAATTTTGAAAAGAAAAAAATTTGTAATGAGTTTTATATATAAGACCAGACCATCCCCCCAATATTTTTCAACATTTTATATAAATCATATTTCAGTATTAGTTTTTTGTATATTTTATATTTTACAACCAACAGAATTGCTGTATTTTTTTAATTTGTGTATTTTTATACTCTCCCCCACCCCTATGAACTATTTAATGTTATGTTAAACAAAAAATCATTTTGGAGTAGCCTAATTTATAAATATTGTACTTTACCTTAAGATTTAATAACTATTAATTTAATTCTATAAATATTCCAATAGTTGACATCAAGATTAATGATGCAGGGAAATTAATTCTTCATATGTAGAATTAATTCTACAACCAGTTGATAATTCTACAATTGTAGAATTAAAAATAAATTCGGCTTTCTTTTATAAGTACAAGGAAAAATATAGTAAGAACAAAGTGCGGTTTAATACGCTTATTAGATTATGATCATGCGCAGATTACAAACAGTATTGGTATCGGTATTTTTTCTACTGGTCAAAATTGGTGATTAAATTTAAATTTTTCTATTGATCAGACAGATCGAAAATCAAAACAATATCATTATTTATCCAACGAATTTTAATATATTTTGTTCGCACGATCTTGGCAAGTTCACCTTTATAATAAAAAAACACACGCAGGTAAGGTCATATCAAATAGAAAATGATTATTATTTACTAACATAATACAAATGACATAATTCGTGATCTTTATAATCTTTTTCATGATTAGTAAATTGCATCTTATTTATGATTGGTCAAGTTTATTAGTTTAGGATATCGTTTGCAATATTAAAAATTTTGTTATTAGTAAGAAAAGCTAGCAGAATAAATATCAATTACGAGAAAATGATGTTAAGAGACAGATTTAAAAATTTTATTCAATGATTTCAATTCTGACACTAATAGTAATAGGCAAAATCAGAATATATTTTTCAAGCAAAATTTAGTATAATTCCGCGCAAAGTTAGACATAAGTCAAAATCAATATATTTTTCAAGCAAAATTATGTATAATTCTGGACAAAAACTGACATAACAAATTTTATTAGATTCAACTTCAAATAAGACGAAAATTGATTATATATACCTATATAGAATTCAAAATAAAGTCTATATTGAAAAGGTATAGTACAAATTAACTAAAAAATGCGCAAGAGTTTTTTTTTTTGAATCATTTAAATGATTACACGAAAAATCTATGCCATTTTTAAATTAAGTAATAAAAAAAAAAAAAAAGGAAAGCACACATAGAGATTGGATCCAGTTAGTATAACTTAACTTATAAACCAATCTTATATAGTTGCATTGTTTTGTCATAATTGTTCAAAACATTGGAAATTTTGTTATTTTTTTTGTATTCTTTGGCTTTATTAACTAGATGTTTATGCTCCAAATGTAAATTATGACTAAATTCTTTTTCGTTAACTAATAAAAAAACCCAATTAGAATGTTTATTAACTACGAAAATTTCATATGTTATTGAATATAATTGAATATACCTCGATTTAAATTAAAATTTAATCTTGAGGAATCTTAAGGCCGATCGCAGTGTGTAACCTGGATACTTTAGTTCTAATGTTTAATTTTATAAATATAAGGCTTTTGGTGATTTCATAATTCGAAATTTTGCGACATGTTAATTATTATCGTTATTATTATTCTTTACAAAAAAATTTGTTTATATTAGTTTTATAAATGTTTGAAAAAATTGAGAAAGAGTGCGAAAGTTGGTTTTTATATATTAATTCCAGATTTAGTTTAAATTTATAAATAACAAACACATTAATTCAATGAAGATCTTACAGATCTGTGGGTCCGTTTAATCATGTGATATTATATAATAAAGAGTTCTGTATTGAAGTAGAGGCATCCATTTTAAGGTTCGCTTATTTCAAAAAATCTCCTTACATCAATACAGAAAACAAATATGTAATAGAAAGGTCAAAAATATAAATAATCATATCTTCAAAATTATTTCAGGTAAGAATTAACATCTAACTTGTAACTTTTTTAACCTAGTTATTTACACTATCTTACTATATATGAAATTGATCTGATCCTATTTGATTGTCAGTATGACTTTAAATCAGAAAAAAGTAAAATTGCTTGTGGGATTCGAGCAGAAAATTTTTTTTCTATGTGGTTATATTTAATTTATGTGAAGGTTATCTTATATAAACCTGAATTTACTATGGTGAATAATAATACAATTATAGATTAAACACCCACCAACCACTAAGTGGTTAATACAATTAAACGAGGAATTAATTCTAGTTTGGCTAAGCTCAACTGATCATGTTGAGCTCAACAAACATTTTAATATTTATAATTTAATCATAAATGAAAGACAAGAATGGAGATTTAAGATCAGGATATAGAGGTAACACTATGATCTTGTGATCTTACGGACAACTATATCTACTAGGTCAATTTTAATGACCAGACTCTTTCGCGATTAGATACACCTTGAGACACAATGTTCAACTTTGTGTTATATCTTTTTTAATAAGTTCAATAGCCTTGTTCTTATTTTTTCTAACATCATTATACCCTGTAATATAATAAGATGCTTTAATATATATAGTAATTAATTTAATTTCACTGTCATTACTGTTGGTAAGTTTCAAAAAAATATTATATGCATCTTTATATTGTTTTTTACTGTATAATTCTAATGCAATTTCAAAGATAAGTCTTTCATCCTTTTTGACATGTTCATTGTTATAATAATTTGCCATTTGTTTTAATGCATCTAATTTAATATTATCTGTCTTGGCTAATTCTGAATAAATATTCCAAGCATCCTCATACTTTTTATATTTATAAAGATATTCTGCGGCATCTATAGCTCGTTTTATATCTTGTTCTACACCATTCATGTCCAAGTATATGATGATAGAGTTCTGCAAGCTACAATAATGAATATAATTACACATTAAAAGATTTGAAACTTTAAATAATTGTTAAAATCAATAGAATACCATTGTTTAATTTTCGAATTCATGCCCAATGTTTATTGTTATTACTAATGGACAAGCTCTTGGATCTAAATTTCCATATGACTTTATTAATCGTAATTAATATAAATTTTATATATTGCTTTTTACTCATTCTTTTATACTTAATTTGTTTATTTATTATTTTTATCATAATTACAATAAGAACAGTTTTTTTTTGATATAGTTAATTACGGTGACTTGATTTATATTGATAACGATAAAGTAAACTGTATAAAAATCATGTAATTTCTATAACGATAATTGAATTGAACTTTAAATTAGAGTGGCTTTTTATGTTTTCATAAATTAATGCAAATTTATATTTGGAATTACAATATTAGCTTAAAAACCGGTTTGTTATAAAAAAATTCAATTGAATTTTAAATTTAGAGTGGCTTCATGGTCTATTGGATATTTATTCACTATTTCCCCCATGTGAGACTCTAGAGTGTTTATGTTTTCCTTTTTTTTGCAGCCACTCAAAGGCCTTATTTATTACAACTTCATCTGCAATTTTATGGATTACAGATATTCGAAGGGGTTCTTTTAGACCTACTATCAGGAAAGCATCACAAACTGACCCTTGAAAAGCATTCACAGCTGATATTGCAGCTTCTTTGCTATTCCCTTGAGACATAAGAAAAAGGTGCCAATATATGAAAGAGGATCCAAAACTTTGTAAGCATACTATTAAAAACAAATATTTAAATATGGTGAATGAACAATATATAACTAGTAAACTCCTAATTAATATAATTTTTTAAAAGAAGGAAAGTTGAGTAATAACAATTGATTCATTAAATTTTCATTCTATTTATTGTTGAATATGAACTTGAAATACGTAATAGGTTTTTTAAAAATTATTCATTTGAATATACATGAAACCAAAATTATTCCTTCTGTTGTGAGTTCTCATAAATGAACAAAAGTCAATTTGTACAATTCTGTTCGTATATATACATCTGAATTTTATGCCCATTTAATCCTAATACATATAATCATATCAATATGCATCTGAACTTTACGCCTAATACATATGTATAACTTGTTTAGATTATATATTATATATTGTATAACGATAAAATTTATTAGAAACAAATACATATCAATATCAATATGTGCTTATGAATAAATTTTATCAGTTTTAAAGACAACATTCTTTAATTCAAATATTTATGTGAAAAATTATGGATACAAGATTTTTGA